ATCAATCCTTAAATCTTTAACATTTTCTCCTTAGCTAATCTTTGATTTAATTAAACATATAGTGTTATGTAGGCTTTACTCCCCAGCGGGAGCTTGTAACTATAACTGTCCTAAATCCTAAAAAAATACAGTATTAACGCTGTTCTTTATTAAGCTCAGTCGGGGAATAAAAACCCACAAAAATAATTTTATTTGTCTCATCATTCTTGACCAGGCCACATACTGTATATAATGTCTCCGCTTCCTCCCACTGTAAAAAAATGAAGCCAAAATGTCCCAGATACGACCCCTGACATCTTTCGCCTTTCGGAACGAGAGTCTGTGCAGTAGAGATCTGGGTTGTCACCGTGGTATCAAAGTCCCACCCATACTCGTGGCCGACTTAATCTCGAGCAGGGCTCAGCAGTCAACCATGATGTGAAATCCACCTTTTTTAGCTTCATATAACTGAATTTCAACTGTACTGAATAGTGTTATGCTCATTGCAGAATTTCCTCATATCGTGCAGGCCTAAATTTAAGTTCCAACAACTGTTTTACTGTGAGAGTTTACAGTATATTAAATACCTGTTCAGTTTTTATAGCATGTAATTATGTGCATTTTGATGTGAGTTTAACTGTGTACCTCTGTCTGTCAATCAGGTGTATAATTCGTGTGTTGGACACTTTTGGTACTGAACCAGACTTCAATCATCCAACATGGGCTGAAAAGCACAACCTTATAAGTTCATTTGGCAGACTGAACCTGATCCCAATGCAGTTCTACACCATGTTTCGTATGTTTCTTTTTCTTTTTCAACAGCTAGTTGTGTGTGTGAGACAAAGAGAAACGTCAATTTTTAAAATTTAATATAAAATACTAATATTTTGATCAATGAAAGTTTTGTCAGTGAAATTCAGACAGCAATATTTTTCAATACACTTTAGATTATTTTTTGTACCTATCTTAATTAATGTGTATTCTCTTGTTGTGGGCAGCTCATACACCAGACAACACATTCCTGGGCTTTGTGGTGCAGCACCAGCTGAGCTCTGAAGAAACTGAGCAGCTCAAGTCTATCAGAAGACAAAACCAGGCACTTGTGTATGGCAAGCGTGCCAATTTTTGGCAGGTAACAATGGATGGATAGCATTTCTTACAATGAAATATATATTTCCTTATAGGCACCAATATTGATTTGAGAAAGTATTAAGAAAGTATACAGGTTCTAGTTATAGGTGGAGAGAGAGGGAACAGAGTTTTGATTGTTATTTTATGCCTTGAAAATACTTTTGTCCCTTAATTTTACCTTTAGGGTGTTTAGTAGTTCACGGACGTAGAGTGTGGGTGTCAAGCGGTCTGTTTCTTCCCCCACTGTAATTCAAACACCCGCCCTCCCCTAAAATACACACTTGGCAGGGGAGAGGTATAATTTGGTTATGGGTGGTTATGTCTATTGATTTTCCAGGAAGTCACTCTTTGTTTCCTCTGTTGTCACACTGCAGGGTAAAGAAGCTTATCTGGACATTATCCACAAGTACTTGGAAATCCATGGGACGGTTGATAACAGTGCTTCGATCCCAAGCTATGTGAAAAACCATGGCATTATCAAAGGCACTGAGGTACAGGCCCTGTTGAGACAGAGCAAGGTGAGTGTGCAAGGGATCTTTCAGTTCACATCAGGTCCCTTAACTTCACTCTTGTGTTGTGTTGACTTTGGCTATACTTCCTCATTTTACAGCCTGTTGCTGTATGTGTAATAATAATTTAAAAAAAAATGTATGACTGAATGAAACCTCAATATGTAGTAAAAGTTAAAATGGTAACCTTTCTCTTTGCTATAAACTGCACACCCATAAAGCAGGAACTGAACTCACAAGTTTAACCAGTCATTTACTAAAATGAGTAATTCTGTAATTCTGTAAAATAATTTACCTTTCTTTATGAGAAAATCCCTGAATTTGACAGAAAATGTATTTTTTATGTTACGTTATGTTCCATTGATATGTTCAAGGCTTTTCTGAGTAATTCAGGATTTATATAGTTATAGTATTAAGACGAGAATAAAATGGGGAAGCAGTTGTGTTTGTAGTCAGCATAGATCATTAATGATCTGTTTTACATGTATGTGATTGTATACAGTATGTAAATTGCATTTGTGTGTACTATAGTAGTGCAGCCTAAAAAGTAGTGTGAACATGGCAATCACAGACATAAATGTTTAGAAGCTATTCTCATAAAATATATTAAGTATATCGGGGATAAAACAATGTTAAGTGGTTTTTGAGTTGTTTGAAAGGGTCTGGAGAAACTCGAAACACACTGCTCAACAATATCACTCATTCCGTATGCTGTTATGTCAGCAGCATCACACTTTTTATACAGCATTGACATGCTGTATAAAAACATGTTTTTCTAGTGGGTTCACACAACAAGTTTGACAACCCTCCATGCATATTCTATACCAAGACTGACTGCTGAGATGTGAATTCATCAGTTAATGTGCTAGTGTTGGCTGGCACCATGTGGTGACATAAAGAAGTGCAAGGGGTTACCATATACTCTACATCTTAATGTGTCCTTATGTGTGCAGAAATTCTAACCCGTTTTCTGTTGTAGGTTTTTGTGGGATTGTCTTTTCCATATGAAGGCCCGGCCCCATTGGAGGCCATAGCCAATGGCTGTGCTGTCCTGAACCCTCGGTTACACCCTCCGCATAGTAGTCTGAACACAGAGTTCTTCAGTAATAAGCCCAACATCAGAGAGGTAAGATCATATTCAAAACGGAGGCACTTAACATGATGTGACAAACAACACACGATAAACAACACTTTCACCAGGAAATCGATCCATTTTGTTTTCCAGGTGAGACATTTTTTTTTCACAAAGCCGTTTCACTGTTGGTGCGTTTGTGCTCCAGGTGACATCCCAGAATCCTTATGCCGAGGCCATAGGGGAGCCCTACGTATGGACGATAGATATGCACAACTCAACAGATGTGGAGAGAGCTCTCACTGCTATCCTCAATCAGACTGTAAGTACCTTCTAAATATGCTGTTAAATCTACCTATTTCCCAAAGAGCACAGTGGGAATACAGAGGAAACGCAGCTTGATAAATACAGTTTTTGCATATACATTTCAGATTGAGCCCTATCTTCCCTATGAGTTTACTTGTGAAGGGATGCTGCAGAGGGTCAACGTCCTGATTGAAAAACAGGTTGGAGGAATGTTTGTTTGAGGGGAAGGAAAAAGGATACATTTTTTAAGTAAAAAATAATAATTCTATTCTAATTTTTGCCTCAGGACTTCTGCCACAGTACAGGGAGCTGGCCCCCACTGAGCACGCTCCAGGTTGTGAAGGCAGAGGCAGACACTTCCTGTAAACAGGCTTGCCAGGAAGTGGGGCTTATCTGTGAACCTGCATTCTTCCCACATCTTAACAGCGCCAAGAATCTTGCCAAGTAAGTACAGCATGCCATGAATGCAGTCACATAAATCCTAATTTACTTTTTATTTATGTCTTTCTGTGTATGATGGTGGGTATAATACACCTAAAGTAAGCAATATCATGCAGTTCTGACCAGAATCATCTTTTTTATGAAGGTAATTCAACTGTAAATAAATAACCATGTCTGCATAGTCATGTTTCTCAGCAGTATCTTTGGAGAGCTTTGACCATATTTTTGTTCTAATTTTAAACAGCAAATCATTACTATAGATTTTCTATAAGATCTACTATACAGTCAACAATTAGAAGAAGGTTAACAAAATTGAAAGTAAGCCTCAATCCAGCTCTCTGAAAATTCGACACATATTGTAAACATTTACATGTAGTAAATATTATAGATGCATATCTTTGCACAGGATACAGTTTTTGAAAAACATAGTACAAATTAGAAGAACACAAGTCAGATATTCACACACATATTCTTGGCAGTATATTGAAGTATATTGAAGGTTATAGTCGGCACTTTTATCTAATTTAATTGGGCTGTTTTTCAGCAGAGCAAAAGTATTCGGTGCGAGTTGAAAGTTACTGTGAAATACACTGATCTTCCAGATCATTATGACCAGTGACAGGTGAAGTGAATAATACTGAGTATCTGGTTATCATGGCACCTGTTAAGTGAGCAAGCAAGTGAACATTTTGTCCTCA